CCAAAGAAGAAAAAACTTTAGAGCTTTCAGCTATTAAGGTAAGTGGGTATTTTCTTCTAAATATATCAAAGAACTAGTAAAGAGAACTAGTATCAAAGTACCTGCCACCTCACTGTGGGTTAGCAAAAGGAAAAGGGAGAGGTTTGGAACCAGCCTTTACTCAGAAAGGCCTCTTAGGAGACACAAACTTAGACCGTCAGAGCTGGCGGGCCTCAGGTAACATCAACTGCCCTGCAACCTCTGGCCTGGAGCTGCAGTGTCGCCAAAGAAGGAGATAGTGTCAGAACTCAGGTTCTCCCGACGAGAAGCACAGGCCTTGTGATTTTAACACATGGCCTCTTCTGAAAGCTCCAGCCAGACACTCAGAGGGCTTCTCTTAAAGCCGAAGGTTAGCAAAAACAAATTCAGTGGGAGAAGAAAGTGACTTTTCAAGTTCAGCTCAAACTGCACCAGTCCGGGAGACGGAGGAATGTGAGTGACAGGCAGTGTCACGACCGTCACAAGGCGGTTTTTCAGGTGCAATGAGCTGGTGTGAGCACTTTGGAAGGACCACTTGAATATCGATGATGGACCCCAGTCTTACGCTTAAAAACAGAGAAGACAGTCAGATGACTGCCTCTGTGCACTCAGACCCGTGCCCTGCACAGAGCACGCGGTGCTGCTTTGTCTAGGTTCCTGCAGACAACCCCACTGTTACTGAGTGTCCTCCACGCCCATCACTACCAGCTCTGGCACTGCCGCCCATCCAGTGCCCCGTGTACTGCCCTCGGTAAGCCTGCTGGGTTGTTACCTGAGCCACGGAGCTAACACTGTTACATACGGTAGGTAGTTTTGGTTGTGAAAAACAGAAAAGCTGAGTTACTCAGTCTAGGGTAGAATAAAAAGGCTGATGTTTTAAAGTGCCCTTGTTGGCAATACAGCTGTTTCTGATATCCCTGTTTACTTTTTGTGACCAAGACTAAGTAAACAGAGAAAAGTGACAAGTTATACAAGTTGAGACAGCAGGGAACAAAAATCCCTTGGATTTACTAAGAGATTAGAGATAATGGCGGGGTATCTACTCTAGGAGTCAACCAGTGCCTCCGATGCAGGGGCTGGGGGAGAACAGAGCTCCTCCGTCCGGACGCAGGGGAGACTCGCTGGGGCACAGATGCAAACTCCACTCTCCAGGCCCTGGCCCCGGAGTCTGCTGTGATGGTAGATGGCACAAACCAGAAACACAAATCGACTTGCATGAGCACAAGGATTCGCCAAATCCTTATTCTACTGTAATGTGCTGGCTGTCTGCTTAATTGGTGATGAAGAAGATGCTGTGAAGAAGGGAGAGTGGCTGCCAGAGCAAGACAAGAGGCAAACACCAAGCCGGCCTGTCTGTGGAGACTGTCCCCGCAGCAACCGTCCGATTCGGGCCTCGCCCACACAGGGGACAGCGGTTTTCAGTGGAATGATGTTCACACTGGAGCCTAGTTTCAGACGCAGAAATAACTCCTTGAAAAATGAACTGTACAATTACATTCCTTGTTCATTTAAAACAAGTTATACTTTTATCCTTTGCCCACATCACCCAGAGACATGGAGCAGGATAAAAGAAACCGAGTGCTCACAAATTCCATGTATCCTCTTTGTCCAACAGACTTCCCCTTCCAGCTGTGCTGCAAAGCCACCGAGGGGCCCTGGCCGTGCTCCCACTGAGCACTGAGAGCTTCTTGGCTGATCTGTGTATTCACAGTCACACTACAAATTCTGAGAATATTTTACAATCAAAGAAATGGACATTTGACCTTAGCAGGCATGTTTCTTACATTTGAAATGCATGGAAATTTAAGTTGATTGGACTGGGGAGTTATCAGCAAATACTGAGGCAATAAGGCTGAGAAAACTCTAGAGCTAGAGATGAATAAATGAGCTCCTTCCTCCTGCTGGAAGGTCAGAATGGGGAGAATCAAACGCACTAAGAAGCTATCTTTAGAGAGCAACAGCAAGTGATTGGAGACAAATACACAATGACAGCCCCCTAATGCACAGCGGTTTTGAAGTGTGTGAAGGGCTAGAACTCTTGCCTGGCACAGAGGAGACCCCACTTGGTAACAGACATCAAGTTCTGCGAGCAAAGAGGTCATATTTACCTCCTTATTACAGTACCGTCAAGCCCAGCACGGCTCTCCAAACAAACAGGGGCTCAACACGAGACGCTGCCCGGCAGACGCAGGGAACAGGCAGCGCCAGCGCGCACGGACCCGTGAAGTCGTAAGGGCACGGGGGCTGGGCACAAGCAGATCGAGGTCTCCTGCGTCCCCAGTCTCTACACCTTCGTTTGGACTTTGTTCCTAGATCCCTGTCCCTTGCTGTCCGGGCCGTCTGATGAAGGCCTCTTCTCTGAGATGGGGACCCTGGTGGCGGCTGCCCGCTTGCCTGGACTTGCCGACGGACAGGAGGCTCCGGAGAGGCCTGTCAAGGAGCCCCAGGTGGGACTCGCCGCCTGCCCCAACTCTACCGTCTACATCCTGACACTGCAGGGGAACGGGCAGTCTTCAGATTCCTTGCGTTGTATGAAAAGTAATGGGGAAAGAACGGATAAGATGTGAGTCCCTATCTACTCTCTGGTCGTTGGTTCACACAGGGTATGCTCAATGAAGAAACATCTTAGAAAGATAGCGGTATGTGAGGGGCAAAAAGTAACTCTTCTAGAATGTCACAGACTATCAACGAAAAAAGGGCTCAGAAACCAAAATGGCACTTGAACTGAAAAACAAGCAAGAAACCCAACAACCTCCCTAAGAAGTTGTCAGCACAAAGTGAAGTGTGATAAATACATAGTTCTTTCCTCTCTGCTGGCCTGCAATTACAAACCCCAGGAAGTAAAGAGCACACCACGGGACAGGCACACAGAAAAAGAAATCTTCCAGAACGAGTGTTATTTGTAGCCTGCTAAGTTCACCAGGGCTCCTTTGTATAAAAGATCAGCTTTAGAAAAAAAACATCGGACTTTATTTTCTACTCAAACCCAAGGCTTCAAGCACATTACGTAACTTAGGAAACGCTCTGGCAGCAGGCTATCGGGCCGCCCAGCACAGACTTGTACTTGACCTCCAGTGTCACATTAGGGGAAGTCCAACGCTGCTCTGAACAGACAGCTTCACCAGAAATAAAAGAGGACACCTTGGCTTTCAGCCAAACTCTGAAGATTCTGTCTTTTTCTTTGGATTCCTGAAGAAATAGTAGCTGAATTCGTCTAGTTTCTTACTGAGGTGACAGTAACGTCCTATTTAGGCCACAAGGGATCTGGAACACAGTTGGGCCTTTAACCAAGGAGACGAGCTCATCAGGTTGCGTCCTGCGCAGCGTCACTGAGCTCGAGGCTGCGACTGACCCTCCGTGGCCAGAGGATGGGCTCCTGTGCTGTGATGAGTGTAAAGAGGGCACAGACGGCGAGTGGAGCGAGCGACCGCAATGTTTCAAAATTAACAGAAAAGAACTTAAATACAGCAGACCGTAGTGATCTCTCTAGGGAAGGGAAAACGAATTGTACTGCCCCCAAATCTAGAAAAACTGGCCATTTTCTAGTACTGCAAGAACACTAAGACCGTGACATAGTGCAGTTCAAAGTATTTAGGCTCTACCCATCCTGCACTGTTTTAGAAGCTACAGACTGGTGTGTCTTGGAAAAGGCCCGAAGCCTCAGATTAGCTTCCCACTAAGATTAAACCAGCATGGTCCGACAGAAACTCAGTGCAAGTTCATGTATAAGGTGTTCCAGGAGCCATAACTTACACTAAAAAGAAACAGGTGACATTAATTTTAATAACACGCTGTATTTAACCTGCTCTATGACACACACAGGGTCCGGCAGAAGTAACGCCTCTGAGTGTGGTTGGGAGGACGTGACTGTCACATGGGAGATGGACAGCGATTTGAACATTTCTCCTAAAATGTCCCATGGTGTGCTTGAGTGTGATGTTGTTACGACACCGAATCACATGCTTATGATTTTGTAATAAAAGATTTTTATGTAATAAAAAGGGGCATTATTTGTGCCAGACCCCTGTATTATCAATTTAACATGTAATAGGTACAAAATAATTATGTGTTCTTTTTCCCAGCTAGGTTTTGAAATAGGTGTGCATTTCACGCCTGCAGGTCGTCTCCGTCCAGAACGTCTCCACGGCCGCCCCTGTCCAGGGGCTGCCCAGCGGGCCTTCGGGAGAAACGGACTCACGCACCCGCGGAAGCCCGTTCGGTCCGTCTAGACCCCCTGGAAAAGCAGGCCTAAAGGAGTCACCGCAGATACACCTGAGACTACCGCAACATAATACCAAAACTCCACAGTAACGGCAAAATAAAATACAAAAAATTAAGGAGGGGCTGAAGAATGGGAAACGCGGTTTTGTCCACATGCCGTCATTTCCGTTTTCCTGCCTGAGCCCGTCTCTCATTACGGCCGCAGCCGCAGGGCCGACACCAAGCCCTGCTGGACTCGGCAGCCTCTCCCGGGACCCAGCTTCGAACCCTGTTCGTGCAGGGAGCCAGGGGGACTGGGGATGTCCTCAGACACCGCACACTATAAAGACGGTGTGGTTACACTCCCAGGGCCCGCACACTTGACTTTCTGGGATTTCACACTAACAAAATAAAGAGCCTGCAGTGTGGAAACCTGATGAGGAGATGCTGCTTTTAACATCGCCTGGGCGAGAACACTGCCTTCTGTGTCCCCACTTGTAAGTGACACCGGCCCAAAAAGAAGGGGCCCTGCCCCTCCACTAAACGAGTATTTTGTTACAGCACTGTGGGAAATGAAGCAATCCTTCATCATTTCTGAGTCACAAGTGAAATCCTCATTTCTACTTCAGCTCCTGATGGATTAAAATGGCCCACAGACACAGCAATGCTTTGAAGCATGAGAGACAAAGAGTCATACCTATCACCAGGTCACAAAGAAGCGGGGACAGAAGCAACAGTGTCATTCCCACGTGCACCTGCCACCCAGGCCCGCGGATTCCTACCTTTATGGTTGAAGATGCCCTCCATTTCCATGCTGCTTCTCGAGTGGGCGATGCACAGGGAGCCGCAGGGAACCAGGCCTTCTGCCGCGGGCGACCGGTCGGTGGTGCGCACCAGACACCAGTCGGGCTTGTCGTGGGGCCGCTCCAACACCTCCACGGTCTGGCCGCGGCGGATGGTCAGCTCAGTGCTGTTGCAGGCAGTGAAGTCGTGGATCACCACTGTCAGCTCGCAGCCGCCGGAGAGCTGGGGAGGGAGGGGGGACACGTCAGTGGGCCCGGGACACTGGACTTCTGTGGCGAGGCTGTGAACTGGGCCAGGAACTCCGCTTTCTGTCCTGCAGCTGGGTCAGCCACCGTGAGAACCACCTGAGAGACAGCTCTCCACTCTCACTGTCCCTTAATTCTTTCTCCCTTGGAGTCACATACTTATGTATGATTGTGCTTTTCTGAGTGTTTCACTATAAGAATCTGATACAATTTTTCACACGAGCATCCAAATCTCTTGTACCCGAGACATTATTCTCTATAAGTGCTATCTGCTCATTTTTAAACTTAGGGCAAACTAATGAAAATTTGGTTTGAAGGCCCCTGGGTGATCACTGTGAAACGTGTTGAAAAAATGGGACAGAGTTTTGTTCCCAGTTCAGAATCTGAATGCTCCAAGCTCTGTCAGCCTGAGGGCTCTCACACACGCCGCGGGGAGACCGAAAAGGGAGTGGGGCTCAAGATCCCGACACAGGGCGGAGCAACACCTTTCTCTCTTTAAAACCCTTCAGGGTACTCATCAGAGCACATTCCTGACCCTCTGCCGTCTGTCCCGCACCCTTTCCGGGCTCTCTTCCCACTCCGTGCCTCGAGCGTTCTGTGGGCACTGGCTCATTTCCCACAGGCCACATCTTTTCTGGTCTGAAAGTCCTTTCCCTTCTGCCTTCCTCTCACTCAGCTCAGTCCTGTTTTCTGTCTATCAAAACCCCATTAACTCTCTGGCCCTCTGAAGCACATCCGCAAACTCCATACAGACACAACAGAGCTCTGGCTGGTCTGGGTCAGTGGGTTGAGTGCTGGCCCGTTAACCAGAAGGTTGCTGGTTTGATTCCCAGTCAGGGCTCATGCCTGGGAGGTGGGCCAGGTACCTGGGGAGGGGCACGTGAGAGATAACCACACACTGACGTTTCTCTCCCTCTCTTCCCCCTCGCTAAACATAAATAAATAAAATATTTTGAAGTTCTTAAAGGAAAAGAAGATACCCCTTGCGGAAGGCAGGTGCATGGACTTCCCACGACCATTCCCTCCCTCCGGCCTGTGGCCGTGTCTCCCCAGACTGGACGTTCCTGAGTGGCCTCCTTGCCACACTCCAGGCTCGCCTTCTAGGCCATGGCGGCACAGCTCCCGCTGTACAGTGGGACCTTCCCATGCAAGCATGCCATCCTCTTGTTCCAGAACCTCACACGTTCACGTTTCAACACCAGCTCCTTAGCACAGGATTCCAGGTTCCCGCACGGCCAGCAGCTTCTCCTACGTGTTTCCCAGCCCCACGACTGTGTCCTCCTGAGGTGGGTCCTGTGTGCTCCACGCTTTCTGCTTAGAGTTCCCCATCAACAGACATCACCCCTGTATCGACCGGCACTAACGTTTTGTAAATAAGCAAATTATGTCTCAATTCTGAAATGAGCTGTGTCCTGGGCATGACGCGCACGTGTGTGACTGCCCTCAGCACCAGAGAGCAGTCTGTGTCGCTCCTCTGTGAACTTCCCGGGCCCTGCCCGTGGGGGCAGAGAGCGTCCTGTCTCAGGAACCACCGCTGAGCCCCCGGTGCCAACAGTGCAGGCCCAGGGTGTGCGCTGGAGAGCGTCTCCAAAGGCCTGCCTCACACAGCACTGTGTAGTCAAAATCTGATGAAGTGAAAAAGGCAAAACTGACTTGCTCTTAAGAAAAAAAAAACAAACAGGCGGCGCTGCATTTGAAAAATCAAAATGAATCCTGGGTTTTCCCTGCACTTTCAGGAGCTAACTCTGCCTGTATCAAGCCTGAGATGTGCCCAGTCTTCCTGAGAGACGCCAGCACAGGGAAGATAAGGGACAGAAGAGCGGACGGCTGGGCCGCAGTGCGTGGGAGGAGGGAATGGGGGTGTCTCCTGTGGGGGACATCCCTGGTCCAGGGCGGCCGCCCAGCTCCAGTCCACGTGCAGAGGACTGGGGATTGAGCCCGCCGCTCAGGCGCACGGCCGGCAGTGTCCTCCGGCCGCCAGGCCCACCACAGACCCCGTCTGCCGGCCCCGTGTCCTGCCCTGTGCTGTTCATGACCCTCCTACTCTAACAGCCTGTCTTTCAACAGAAAGTTTAGATATTTGGAATAAGAAACACATGTCCACTGGACAACCACAGAAACCAAACCAAGACCAACTCTTCTGTAATAAAGCACAGACATGACAAAACGAATCGTCTTCGCTGGGCCACAAAGGGCGTTTTTCACAAATGTCTAATCCCTTTGTAAATTTTACAAATTGCTCTGTGGGAAATCCTTGCGAATCTCACACATTTCCCGGTGAACAACCAAGGAAGCTAATGTCACCAGGTGAAAGGTACAGGCCCGGCACGGAGAAGTGTTTTCCCAGAAAACCCCGTGTGCTGGAAGGGGCTCGTTCCTGCAACAAAAAGGAGGAATGTTTCCCGTTCCAGGGAAACCCTGAGCAGCGACACAGCCCCGACGCAGCGTCCAGCCCCCAGCACGACCTGCGCTTCCTACCGACCCGCCCGCCTGCCGGTGCCTGTGTGCGCCAGCCTGTCACCTCTGCCTTCAGCCCCGCAGCACAAACCCGTGACGCTGCCTTGACACTTCTCCACCCCCAGCCCTGGGAACAGGACTTCAAGACACACCGTCTAGTCACTAGCCCCTGGCCATTTTTCTTGAGTTTTATTAATTTTTCCGACTGCTCAAAGTCACATGGTGCTTTCTGCGGTGGGGGAAGGGTGGGAAGGGGGGCTGTCCAAGGGGAGTTAAGCTAGACCTTATTTCTGGCACTGGCTTTTTTAGCCCCTTACAGAGTAATAAAAACACTATTGGAAACATCTGTGTACTTGACAGAGCATGAGAAATAAAAGTCCAGCCTGTTCTGACAAAGAATTGCAGGCTGAGTTAAAAAATTCTTTTTCAGGGGCTTTAGAGAACTTAGTAACAGAATCTAGTACCAGGAGACTGTTTTCAAACAGCGCTAAAATTATCATTAAAAGAAAATATGTATCTTTTTGGCTTTATCCCTAAGAATCCACTGGTGTTTCCCATAAGAATCTCCTGCACGAATCTTTAAGGGGAGGATTAAATGGATGTTTTCTAGTCCAGAGAAGAGACATCTGTGGATTCCTGTCTCAACGTTCACATTTGAACATGTTAAACTTATTATAAAACTTCTCTTTAAAAGCAGGTTTGGAAATTTTAAAAAACTACATTTTTGCATAAAGGGCTTCAAATACCTATTTTGTGGAAGTGATGCAAGTCAGTGCTGAATTCCCACCTAAAAAAGCTCAGGCAATATGGTCACACAGGTAAGCACAGCCCAGGTCCTCCCTGCTTTCAATGACTCTTTGACCCTGAGGCCAAATTTCATTCCTATGTTGAGTTACCATTCCATGTACCTGGTTTAAAATTTACTTCTTTTTTTCCAGCGATGCCTTGTGCAAGTTTTCAAAGTATCTTCTTCACTTCTGTGCATGTCGTGAACTTCTACCACGGGCTCCCAAACACACTCACGTTTGGTTTAGGACCACAAGTTATGAAAGTGCCCATTTCTGTGACTCACATTAACACTCCTGTGAGACTCACACCACAAGACAGATTGAGAGAATCTCTGCTTTTCGCCTTTAAAAAATAAACATGGTAACTAAAAAGCATGATAGTAAAATGGCCTTACTCGGGGCATGGACCAGGGACACCACCCCTTGTGCCTTTTCAGGGGCTGCCAGGGGACGTCGGTGACCGAGATGCACAGACTATTTACCAAATCCAACCAGGGTCCCTCGCCTGAAACCCTGCCAGAATGACTGAAAGGGCACAAACTGCTGTGTTTCACCCGAAAGAATGAAACACTCATCTCTGGTCGCAGGCACGTGAACCTTCAACAGTGAGCACAAAAAAGAGTTTTTTACTTTATGTTTCTTGGGGATAACAAGTGATAGCACAGCTTTGCCTGAACTCAGTTAACAGCAGCGACCACAACAGACCCTCGGGTGGAATTCCTCACCCATCGGTTCTCCGAGCAGCCCCTCCCGGACACACCAGGACGGGGCGGCTTTCTGCCACCAGATGGACAGTTCTGAGACGAGGGCAAACACCTGGCCGGAATGGCCGGACTCCCAGAGGGGCTCTGGGGCGAGCTCTGCCCGGGGAAGAGCGGCTTGCTCTTTACAACCGGCCCGGTGGGTGACACGGCCTGCTCTGCAAGCGATTCTACTTCAAGCACCCAAGATCGCTTGCAGGTGGGTGTCTGGCCAATTTTCTGAGAGCAATTCAAAAGGAAAGGGGAATGGGTCTAATAAAAGCCGTCTTCCGCTAAAGAACAAAGTGCGTCAACTCTGGTGAACAGTCACATCCTACAGCCCGACACAGCTCAGCTATTCAGAAACCTCACAAAAGGGCCTGGTGGTTTCGTGGGGGTCTCACGCTGACTGGACCAAAGGCTGACTGATGGCTTGGTTAAGGGGATTAGGAAGCACAGCTCCACTCCTGGCAAGGGCAACCGGGAAAGGCAACCATCGGGAGCCAGAACTCCACTCCCAGGGCGTGAACCACACCCCTCGGCCTCACCCGCCCACGCTCTGAGGCTGGGGCTCAACAGCAGGCGCAGTCCTGGGGGCAGACACAGCAGGCCCCTGTGCTGGGCCCAGCGGAGACCAGGTTCACAGAAGTGTTCACCGAAACCTGCCGCCCAGTTTCAAAGAGGACCATTTCGATAATCTCCCATTTTGGAGGTACATAAATTTGTGAGAACTAAAAAACAGTTCAGGCAATAATTTTTTTTAACGCCAAATAATGAATCTGTGAGAAAGATGTTTTCAAAAGCAGTAACCCTATCCAACATTTTATCCAGAAAATGACTAGTGAGTACTCAGACATTATCCTCTACCCTTTACCAAGGCGACCACCCATTGGTTTCCAACACAAAGGCTTCCTCCGCTGTGATACACAGGAGGTGGAGTGGAAAATGAGATGTAAGGAAGTTACATTTAAAAGATATAACGAAAGGGGCAA